TTTTGCTATAAAACAAATCCAATTAAAAAGTTTCGAAAATCTAATTTCTTCATAAATCTTGGCCAAAATGCAATTTTTTACATTTCATTCTTTTATTGGATATGTTTTATAGCAAAAAGCACATTTTTGTCCAAATTTTAGATCCTTTTTTTGGTTAACCAAAGACCTGTAACAGACTACATTTTGGCCAAGATTTATGAAGAAATTAGATTTTCTAAACTTTTTAATTGGATTTGTTTTATAGCAAAAAATACAATTTTTCCCCCCAAATTTTCATTCTTTTTTTTTTTTTTACCAAAGACATGTAGCAGATTATATTTTGGCCAAGATTTATGAAGAAATTTGAGGTTTTTTTACTTGATATGTTTTATAGCAAAAAGCACATTTCCCCCCCCCAAAATATTCAGTCCTTTTTTTTAACCACAAACCTGTAGCAGACTACATTTTGACCAAGATTTATGAAGCAATTTGATTTTTTTACATTTTTTATTGGATAGGTTTTTATAGTAAAAAGTAAATTTTTTTCCCAAAATAATTTTCAGTCTTTTTTTTTCTTTTACCAAAGACCTGTAGCAGACTACATTTTGGCCAAGATTTATGAATAAAATCATCTCAGTTTGGCTTTCTACATCTTTAACTAACTGCAGTGAACTTACATGGCAATTTTCTTCAACCCTTTTCATCAGAAGATGTTCCTGTCAAGGTATTAACGTCTGTGCATGGCCTGTACGTCTCTGTGAGATGGTTGCAATTCCATCTTTATTAAATTTCTGAATCACTTTGCTCTAGTATTCTGACTGATAAGTAAAGCTTTGCTGACCTTCTTGTAGCCTTCACCTTCCTTGTGTAAAGATATTATTTTCTTTCTCAGGCCTTGTGACGTTTCTGTTCCATGTGGTGCCATTGCTGACAGCATAAAGTGGGCGGGGTTTTCTTTGTTAAGTAACGCCCTTTTATAACCACCTGTCTGCTGGACGCCTGTGTAATGAATAAATAGACTCACCTGGAGTTGAATTCTTGTTAATTAGGATTATGTTGTCTATAATGTATCTTTGCTCCTAAGACTTCCATTGAGGTGTATTCATTTTTACAACACGGTCTTGAATGAATCTGTTAGGAAGAATAGTTTTTTTGTGTGTGCAAATTACAATATCTTGTGTGCAATCAATGGCTGGCATTTGTGGGAGTGTTTTGTAGTATAGTGTCCCATAGAAAATGTGGATTCTGAAAGGAAAGGTTTCTTACAAATCCATTGGGGTGTTCTCATCTATGCTGAGCACTGTACATCTTTTATGGATGTACCTCCCTCTACTCTGTATACTACCAACCAGTGGCGGACTGACAACTCATGGGGCCCCTGGGCAATAGGGGATCATGGGGCCCCTGTGTCCTTACCCGAACTCAAAAAAGCCTATGGCAGTGCCCGAGTTTCCAAATGGACAGTCCGGCCCTGCTACCAACAATGAAAACAGGGATGGGCTGTAGGTGAACAGAACAGCAGTGATTACTTTAGCTGCACACAAATGATCAGGTCCTGGTATATATTATTCCCCCTCCACTGCTTAGGAGTATAAGAAGGAGCAGTTGGGGGGGGAAGTAAAAATACACAGCTAACTTGCACATTTTTACCGTACCCCCAAACAAGTGTTACAAGTGTAAATGAAGCGTAATGCCCCATACACATGATAAGAAAATGAGGACCGATCGTCCGATAATCGAATTGTTAGTACAGGCGTACATAGGATGACAACTGTAATGCGTTCTGTGGGACGTTTCGTATTGCGAAAAATTCGTAAACCGAAACGCAGTTTCCCATAGGAATGCATTGGAAACCAATGAATCCGTTCCGGAGGTCAGAAAAAAGTCAAAAAAGGTATTTTATCTCTTCAAAACTCTTTAAAAAGTAAACTTTAAAGGCGTAAATACTGTACAGGGACATGATTAAAAAAAAAAAATCGTAAATGCATTGAAAACCAATTAATCCGTTCCGGAGGTCAGAAAAAAGTTTTATCTGTTGAAAACTCTTTAAAAAGTAAACTTTAAAGGCGTAAATACTGTACAGGGACATGATTAAAAAAGAACAAAAAACAGAAGAGCATTGAAAACCCAATTAATCCATTCTGGAGGTCAGAAAACCAGAAAAAAGCAAGACTTTTTTTTTATCTGTTCAAAACTCTTTATAAAGTGCTCTTTAAAGGCATAAATACTGTACAGGGACATGATTAAAAATTAATTCGTAAATGCATTGAAAACCAATTATTCCGTTCCGGAGGTCAGAAAGAAATTTTTAATCTGTTCAAAACTTTTTATAAAGCGCACTTTAAAGGTACAGGGCTGGCACTATAAACACTTCGTATTGCGTAAATAATTTGTAAACTGAGGCATTATTTTCAATGGATTTTCATTTATAAACTGAAAATTCCGTTATCCGAGGCGTTCGTAAACCGAGGTACGCCTGCACACAGCTTTCGAGAGCTGACCACAACAATTCGTATGACAATATCTGAAGGGAAAAGCGCGACCATTTTTCCCGTGCAATACCAGATCGTACAATTTTTGTTTCATCAGTCCTCCGAAAATACAATACAAATACATGACATCACTTTCAAAATTCTTTTCTTTCGTACGAGAAATTTTCGCATCTTCAGTAACCTTTTCACATTTGATGTGAGACTAGCAGGCGAAAAAAAACAAAAAAAATGGATGATTGTTCGCCCCATAATCTCATCATGTGTACGGGGCTTTATTTATTTATTTCTGGTACTTATATAGAGCCGTCAATTTACACAGCACTTTACATATATATTGTACATTCACATCAGTCCCTAACCCTCAAGGGGCGTACAATCTAAGGTCCCTATCTCACATTCATACATACACATACTAGGGAAAATTGAGACAGGAGACACAATTCACCTATCGGCATGTCTTTGGAGTGTGAGAGGAAACCGGAGTACCCGGAGGAAACCCACGCAGGCACAGGGAGAACATGAAAAGCCACTGTGCTTCCTCTTTGACAGGTGAACTCGATTGGACGGATCATGTGAGTCTTTCAAACGGACCCTCCAATCACCTCTAAGGAGTAACATACCCTGGGGAGGCTGATGGTACCCAAGTCGATTGTTGTATGACTCGATTACAACCAGCCTGTCGGATTCTACATGCTATTATAGCCATTAGCAGTAATCACAGTTTTCCCTGCAGGGATGCCCCCCCCCCCACTGGCAGAACACAATAGATCCACAGGAGGGATTCAGCAGGGATTATAGCTATCCAGGACTCTATGTACAATGACTGACTGGACACATCCTACATGAAGTCTGAAGCTGCCGGCCGGGCCCCCCCTTAATGGTGGCCATGGTCAGGAAGATGCCCCAGCATTTATATCCACACAGGTAGCACTGACACCTTAAGCCAGTCACTATGGAGTGTCAGGTGTCATGTAGACTAGAACGGGGGGGGGGGGGGTGTCCACAACATCACAACTCCCATCCTGTTCTTGGACGATCCGCATCTACACAGTCCATGGTGATTGGATTAAGGGGAAAGTATAGGCAAAGCTTTTTTTTTTGTTGCTACATTTCCCTTGTAGGTCCGTTCTGCACTCCTGTGACCCTTTATCAGTTGATAGCTGTTGATTGACGTTACAAAGCCAGTCCAGGCGCTAGATCAAGCCAGAGGCGGACTGACAACTCATGGAGCCCCCGGGCAATAGGGGATCATAGGGCCCCTGTGTCCTTGCCCAAACTCAAAAAAGGGGCATCTCATGGGGCCCCCTACTGACCCCGGGCAGTGCCCGAGTTTCCAAATGGTCAGTCCGCCCCTGGATCAAGCCCAACTTTACAGCCAGGATGCACTGGGAAACTGAGCCAACCCCTCTTGCCCCCTCCACAGTGAGCACTGGAGGGGCTGAGAGCCGGAGACTGACCGTTCTGAGCCGGCTCTCTGCCCCTCCAGTGCTCACTGGAATATGGACTTTAAAAAAGTGCTCTGCGCTCTGGTCCGCTCTGTGCTCTGGTCCGCGCTCTGGTCCCCACTGTGCAGAGAATGTTTGATCGCTCACTTCTTAGTGCAGAGCTGGCTGGGTACAGATGGTTTTTTTTTTGTTTTAAGGGCCGGTTCACACTATAGAAACACAGTCCAGATGCATTCTGAATGTGTTTCTGCATGCACACTTTTTGGCGCGTTCTGGTGCATTTTTTTTATGCGTTTTTGACACGTTCCAGTTCATTTTTCCCCTCTTTTTCTTCAATTTAAATAGGGGCATGTGCGTTCCAGTGCGTGTTTTTGGTGGGTCCCAGTATGTTTTACCGGGTTCCAGTACAGTTCTGTGCAGAAAAATGCAGTCTGTTCTACTTTTATTTTTTTGCCAACTAAAACGCACTGTAACTGCAAGCACTGATGTGAACTATGACACTGACAACCATGTAACCTACTGTCTGTGCATTTTGGATGCAGAAAAAAAAAGCAACTGAAACACATGTCGTGTGAACCGGCCCTTAAGGTGTTGGTGCTACCTGTGCAGATGTAAACGCAGGGGTATCTTCCTGACACCCAATAAAACTGAAGATGTGGAATGGACAATCAACAGCTGCCTTCCCATGGTGACTGGATTAAGTTGTATGTGCTACCTGTCCGGATATACAGTAAATTCTAAATTCATTTGAAAAATTTTTGCTTGCCTCCTCCTTTACTGTGTCGAAACAAGCTCAGGAGCCGCTCTTCCACCTCCTCGTATCCTGACTGCCATATTCAAAAGAAGATGTCATTGGCAAGCAGCTTTTTATTCCTGGACCACCTATGACGTTGCCTCTGATCTTGCACATGTGCTGCACAAGATCGGGAGCAGCTTGTTGTTCAGTGACAAGCCTCCCCAGATCTTGTATAGTGCAAGTGTAAGATCTCCCTGGAAGGCACTGATGACAGTCTTAGGGTCAGTGCCGGGACAAGATCATCCAGCACCCACATCCAGCGCCCAGAGCAAAGATGGCAAAGTGCGCGTCCCCCAATTCATGTGGATCCAATGCCCAGGAGGCATTCGTTTGGCAAAATCTCTGCCACTGTCGCTACTTCTGTCAGCATTGTAACAGAAGGAAGGTGCTCCTATCTCTATAGAAAACCATTGCGCCCAGAAAACCCGCTCTCCCAGGATCCTGCATTCACTATATCCGCTCTCCCAGGACCCCGCATTCACTATATCCGGTCTCCCCGGACCCCACATTCACTATATCTGGTCTCCCCGGACCCTGCATTCACTATATCTGGTCTCCCCAGACCCCTGCATTCACTATATCCGCTCTCCCAGGACTCTGCATTCACTATATCCACTCTCCCCGGACCCTGCATTCACTATATCTGGTCTCCCCGGACCCTGCATTCACTATATCCGCTCTCCCCGGACCCTGCATTCACACTATATCCGCTCTCCCCGGACTCTGCATTCACTATATCAGCTCTCCCCGGACCTTGCATTCACTATATCCGGTCTCCTCGGACCCTGCATTCACTATATCCGCTCTCCCCGGACTCTGCATTCACTATATCCGGTCTCCCCAGACCCTGCATTCAATATATCCGGTCTCCCCGGACCCTGCATTCACTATATCTGGTCTCCCCGGACCCTGCATTCACGATATCCGGTCTCCCCGGACCCTGCATTCACTATATCTGGTCTCCCAGGACCCTGCATTCACTATATCTGGTTTCCCACAGTACACACAACATGGAAATGCAATTATTTTAATAAATATAAACTGCTAAATACCTATTCTCATCAGCAGTATATAGCGATCTTGTGACTTCTATCAGTGTCCAGCAGAGCACTGATTAAAGCTTGTAGGAGGAGTTTTCTTTCTGCTCTAGGAGGATGCAAGACCCCTGACCTCTGTCTGGTTAGTGCTGATTGGCCCTGTGCTGATCACATGCACTCTCCTAAGAAAAAAAAAAACCTCTCTAGCACTACAAACCAAACTGAGCATATGCATGTGACTACAGATTCTGTATCAGGTGGTCATTTGAACAAGAGGAGGGGCAGAGAAGACAGGATCAAACAGCTTTTTTACACAAGGCAGAGGATTAGGTCCCACAGTGAGTATAACAAGCATGCTTTACTGCACATACAGACTGATTGTACTGTTGTGGGTTTAGTAACACTCTAATACGAGGACACACACAAAATACACAGGTCTTCTTTTAAGTGAAATACGACAAGGAAGAAAACTCTCCAGACCCGACCACTTTCCATAAAACCCGGAAAAGCCCCCAAAAACAATAATGATGTTCCGGCACTCACCGCTATAGAGACTGCGCTGATCACAGCTCCGGCATATCCCAGAATGAACTTGGATGTTGGAGAAGGCTGAGAAGACAGTAGAGAAAGAGTTAGGAAAGGACATCACATGAGGACACGGGTGTGTTTTTCACAATCTACATGCGTGTTCCTAGTGACGGTACAGGGCACCACCTTATGTTTTCTGGACTATTCTGGACAAGGATACAACTAATCACTCGATTCATTTAGTGACGATTGGAGAACAAGCATCATGTCTGGAGGAACTCTGCATCTTCTCCAGATACCTCCCGGAGGTCTACATTGAGGGCAGATACAGGACAAATCAACAGCTTGACTTTAAAGTATATTTCCTTTTTTGCAGTCAAATCTGAGAAAACCAAGACAGGGCTTGTTCACACTAGCAGTTGGAGGGCAGGGAAAACCCATGGCTAGGCTGCATTTTTACCCCCCCCCTCCCCCCCCCAACCGCTCCCCCTTTAGCTGCAGTGTACACCTGCCACGGCCAAGATGCTTTGCAATGCACACGGTTGTGCAGGATCTGAGGAGCTAAAGCAGGAAGTGAGTAGGAGATATAAAATGTATCCGACATGTAGTGTTCAGCTGGCTTTACTGCTCCCCAAATACCTCCATTCATGTCAAAGGTAAAAGCACCACAACCACCCCCCAGGCCATTTACAGTGTATTTGAGGTATGTTAAACCAGTTTCCACCTGGCCTATTGTCAAATGATGGGAAGGACATGCGCCGTTCCGTGTGGGCGTCATATGACGTCCTCCCTGGAACGCACCTGGCATTCACCCCATGGGCCCTTCTGCGTCGAGATCTGTCACTGGAGACCAATCAAGGTACCGGCTGCTGCCAGTACTATGTGATCGCTGTGACCAATCACATGACAATTTTACACAATGGATGGTGGTTATTCATGCCATCCATTGTATTGATCTTTGTGATTGGTCACAGTGATCACATGGTACAGATACGGCCAATCATAGCCCATCTGTACCATGTGATTAGCTGTAGCCAATCACAGCTAACCACAATAGTAAACACTGAATGAATCCATTTTATTCAGTAAAAATTGTTGACTATACCAGTGATATTTACTGGTATAAGCAATCATAGTGTGTAAAAAAATAAATAAAAATCCTGATCACTTCCCCACAGTAGTAACACTGTATTGCTCTGGACATAGTACAGGCGTACCTCAGTTTACACACGCCTCGGTTAACGTCATTTTTGGTTTACAAATGAAAATTCATTGAAAATAACGGCTCAGTTTACGGATTTTCTCGCAATACAAAGCGCACTTTATAATGAGTTTTGAACAGATAAGACTTTTTTTTACTTTTTTTCTGGCCTCCGGAACGGCTTAATTGGTTTTCAATGCATTTACGAATTAATTTTTAATCACTTCCAGTCCGGACACTTTTACCCCCTTCCTGTCCAGGCCAACTTTCAGCTTTCAGCGCTATCACACTTTGAATGACAATTGCGCGGTCATGCAACACTGTACCCATATGAAATTTTTAGCATTTTATGAGACAGATAAAGCTTTATTTTGGTGGTATTTTCTCACCGCTGGGATTTTAATTTTTTTGCTATGTAAATGAAAAGTCCAAAAATTTTGAAAAAAAAAAGTGCTTTTCTTATAAAATTTTGCAAATAAATAATCTTTCATCATAAATCTTGGCCGAAATGTACTCCGTTATCTTTTTAGTAAAAAAAAAAAAAAAAATAACCCAAATTAGTTTATAACCAACAGTTTGTAACGAGATAATCAGTTTATCTGGTCATAAAATGATGTCTGATCGGTGTATAGCGTTTATAAAAAGAAAACAGGAACTATTGTGCACTGATGCAAGGACGTGTTCTGTACATGGTCAACCATGGATGGTGAGGAGGGTTTGGGGAGGAGAATGACCCTCACGCCAGGGTACTATGTGTCATCCTAGACTCCAATCTGTCCTTTCAGCCGCAGGTCCAATCGCTGACAAACTCATGTAGACTTCACCTCCGCAACATCTCCAAGATACGTCCGTTCCTAACCCCGGAAACCACTAAGCAACTTATTCCCTCCCTTGTCATATCACGACTTGACTACTGTAACTCCCTCCTCATTGGCCGACCTCATCGCAGGCTATCCCCATTCCAGTCTATCATGAATGCTGCTGCCAGACTCATCCACCTCACCAACCGTTCTGTATCCACCACCCCTCTCTGCCAATCCCTCCACTGGCCTCCATTCAGCGTCCTCCACCCCTCTCTGCCAATCCCTCCACTGGCCTCCACTCAGCGTCCTCCATCCCTCTCTGCCAATCCCTCCACTGGCCTCCACTCAGTGTCCTCCACCCCTCTCTGCCAATCCCTCCACTGGCCTCCATTCAGCGTCCTCCACCCCTCTCTGCCAATCCCTCCACTGGCCTCCACTCAGCGTCCTCCATCCCTCTCTGCCAATCCCTCCACTGGCCTCCACTCAGTGTCCTCCACCCCTCTCTGCCAATCCCTCCACTGGCCTCCATTCAGCGTCCTCCACCCCTCTCTGCCACCCCTCCACTGGCCTCCAATTGCCCAACGGATAAAATTCAAAACACTAACGTATAAAGCCGTTCATAACACTGCCCCTAATTACATCACCCATCTTGTCTCTAAATACCACCCAAACTGTACTCTCCGCTCCTCCCAAGACCTCCTACTCTCTAGCTCCCTTGTCTCCACCTCCCATGCTCGTCTCCAGGATTTCTCCAGGGCTTCAGCCATCCTCTGGAACTCCCTACCCCAATTCATCAGACTATCGCCTACTCTGCTCACTTTTAGGCGCACTCTGAAAACCTCTCTCTTCAGGGAAGCCTATCCTGCCCTCAGCTAATAATGAAATGTTCTACTCTTCCAATCAATCCATCCTCCACAGCTTATTACCTCTTGTACCATTCACCCCTCCCTCCTAGATTGTAAGCTCCAAGGAGCAGGGCCCTCTAATCCCTCTTGTATTGAACTGTATTGTCACTGTATTGTCTCCCTCCATAATGTAAAGCGCTGAGCAAACTGTCTGCGCTATATACAGTTGCAAGAAAAAGTATGTGAACCCCTTGGGATTACGTGGAGTTTTGCATGAATTGGGCATAAAATGTGCTCTGAACGTCATTTAAGTCACAACAATAGAAGAACACAGTCTGCTGAACATAATACTACACAAACATTAGATGTTGCCATGGTTTAATTGCACATAACATATAAACATTCACAGTGCAGGGAGGAAAAAGTATGTGAGGCCCTAGCTTAATGACTTCTCCCAGAGCTAACTGGAGCCAGGAGTGAGCCAACCTTGACTCCAATCAGTGTGATGATATTGGATGTGTTGCTGACAGCTGTCCTGCCCTTAAAAAACACACACCTGTTTTGGGTTTACTGGTTTCAAGAAGCCCTGTCTGATGTGAACCATGCCTCGCAGAAAAGAGCTCTCAGAAGACCTACGATCAAGAATTGTTGACTTGCATGAAGCTGGAAAGGGTTACAAAAGTATCTCCTTGAGCCTTGATGTTCATGTGTCCACGGTAAGACAGACTGTCTACAAATGGAGAAAGTTTAGCACTGTTGCTACTCTCCCTAGGCGTGGTCGTCCTGTAAAAATGACTGCAAGAGCACAGTGCAGAATGCTGCATGAGGTAAAGAAGAATCCCAGAGTGTCAGCTAAAGACCTATAGAAATCTCTGGCACATGCTAACATTTGTGTTGACACATCTACAATAAGGAAAACATTAAACAAGAATGGAGTACATGGGAGGACACCACGGAGGAAGCCATTGCTGTCCAAAAAGAATGTTGCAGCACGTTTGAAGTTTGCAAAAGAGCACCTGGATGTTCCACAGCACTGCTGGCAAAATATACTGTGGACAGATGAAACCAAGATTGAGTTGTTTGGGAAGAACACACAACACTATGTGTGGAGAAAAAAAGGCACAGCACACCAACATCAAAACCTCATCCCCACTGTGAAACATGGCGGAGGGAGCATCATGGTTTGGGGCTGCTTTGCTGCCTCAGGGCCTGGACGGATTGTTGTCATTGATGGAAAATGAATTCCAGAGTTTATCAAGACATTTTGCAGGAAAACGTACGACCATCTGTCCGCCAACTGAAGCTCCGCAGAGGATGGGTGATGCAACAGGACAATGACCCAAAGCATACAAGTCATTCAACAAAACAATGGCTGCAACAGCACAGAATACGCCTTCTGGAGTGGCCCAGTCAGAGTCCTGACCTCAACCCGATTGAAATGCTGTGGCATGACCTTAAGAGAGCAATTCACACCAGACATCCCAAGAATATTGCTACACTGAAACAGTTTTGTGAAGAGGAGTGGTCCAAAATGACTCCAGATCATTGTGCAGGTCTGATCTGCAACTACA